ACACACACACACACACACACACACACACACACACACACAATGAGACACTCACCATCTGTTGTGTAAAGATCGAGGGTTCCCCCGTCACTGCTCTGCCACGGTGGCACAAGATACAAAATGAAAGCGACTCGTCTCCCCTCCAGTTCATCRTCGTGACACAAGAGAACATCTGGAAAACAGAAACAAAACAAAATGATTGTGATTCACAAGAAAAAAATTGTTTGAACTGCAACAATTTTCAGTTTGCAGACTGCTCTCACCTGTGTGTTCATATTTGGCACAAGAAATATCCACCGTGGGCTCCAGCTCGACCCCCAACACCTCCCCGAGCCAGGACCGGAACCGCTGGAACAGAGCCGCCCTACAGAAACAWCTGCTGTGTTGTGATCATAAACATTTAACAACAAACTGCAGAGATATTTCAGCTAACCCACCCCAATCCCCATAAACACAAGAAAGCTCGCCGTGACATTTTCAGCAAGATGAATAATGAATAATCACAAATAGGAGGAGGGGGGCTGTTATTGTGTATTTAATAACAGTATTTAATCCCCAGAGCTGCATTTCATTAGCAGGTGTGGCAGCTTTCACAGCCAGGTTTATCAGCCGTCATTTCATCAACAAAAAGCCGTTTCGATGCCACCTCAGAATAACCGACGGTTTCCATCACGTGTCAACATGAAGACGACCTTAACATACGAATCATTTACACATTTAGGTTTTGATTTGATTTATTTAATTTAAAAATGACGTCTGGTCCCTAATTATACGTTTGTTGTGTCGACACACTGATTTTGTGTTAATAATAAACTACGCTAGAAAACAACCCTTTTTCTGCTTCTGAGTCTGGTAAACCAATAGTTTATTTTTAAATCAAGATAATGAAGTCATATCATTAATAAAAGAAACAATACAAGTAGGAAGAAAAGGTWATCTTTGGCTCCCTCTGGTGGATAAGATCATTAATTTACTGTTGCGATAAAAAGCAGAAAAAGGGGATTCTCGTCTTTAAAGTCTKAATTTTACACAACATAAACTCATAACGAATATCAGCGTTTTTGTGTGGTAAATGCGCTTTCAATGTGCTGTTCTGTTATGCAGCCATGACAAAATAAGCAATAAAATCCAGATATCTCATCAGTTCAATGTCACAAGCATAACAGATTAAACATAATCTGTTAAATTTCATTAATTCTCMGGTCCAAAGCATAAAGACCCTGGAGATTGTTCACCTGAACCCACCCTAATGTACCTGCTTTTATTACCAGGTTTTAAAGACGTAAAGGTTAATCTGTGAAGAAGGAAAGATTGACCACAGTAAAAGTAGGTTTGTGTGTCTGAAATTTGAGATAAACTGGTGGAACAGTGCAGATTAACTGRTTATTAATTGTTCCCTCAGTGGATTTAGAGTAAAACTGTGATAATGTTCAAATGTGCTTAGAACCACAACTTATCCCCTGATTATTTAATGTTTTATTCTTACCTCAGTCCTGTGATGTGTGGCTCTTTTCTCTTCTTCAGATCATCAGACTGTAGGGGGAAAAAATAATAAGTAGCCTCGTTAAAACACAGCAACTGGAATGAACACAAAAACGGATGATTTGGTCTGACCTGTTTGAATTTGTACAAATCGTTTGACTTTTCGTTGAAGTTGAGGTTCAGCAACTCTTTCTGCAGGTTTTCAACAAAGCTTTCACTGTTGATGAAGTTCTTGATGGTGCAGTGAGGGAAAGGGTGGCAGTCCAACTCTAAAAACCCTGAACGTTTATTTGCACATGCAAAAACAAAACACAAATATGGGTCAAACTCTTTCTATAAAACTGGAATCATGTTTTTAAAAGGACCCAAACAAGACTGCAGCTTCAAATTTATTCTGATCTGTTTATTTTCTTGTGTTCAATCATCACATTTACACTCTTTCTAAAACTCATTACAATATAGTATTTATTATTATTATTATTTTGCTATTTGTATTTATAAGTATAATACTCTAAAATACTAAATTACAGGTGGGGGGCACAACATAAATGAGGNACATAAATGAGGATGCACTTTTTTATATATAAATATATGAAATGGATTAGGGCAAATTTGAATTATGCTTGTAGTTTATTTACTTTATTATTTGTACATGCATTTTATCAAAACACGGGGGTTAAAACACCAAATGTTAGATTCTGTACTGATCTAAGTCTAACCGCCACCTTATTATAAGCCTTAACGAGTAAGGTAAACAGGTCTACGATGGAAGTAAAGACCCAGCTGCGGTCCATGGTTAAACTAACAACCAGTGATGACATAAAGTTTTCCTTTACGGACCCTGGCTGTAGTGAGACCCGCGGCTCCAAGCCTCCTTCACAGCTCTCTTCAGATGCTCGTCCCGCACGTCGACACTAAATTCCGCCGTTTCCAGGCCGCCTTTCGACCTCTTCCTCCCGCCGGCGGTTCCGGGCTCTTCCTGAGCCCGTTTGGATGTCATATCAGAAACTTGTCTGGAGAGAAAACGAGCGACAACCAACTTTGAAAAGACCAGACACCTATCGTTTTGACAGGCTGCCGCGTGCGACTGTTACGTCGCGGGTGAATGACGTAAACATGTTTTTAAAGCCCGGAGTATTGACTGTCAGGCAAGCAAGCCTAAGGATAAAACAGAAACGATTTCAAAGCAGTTTARCTTCTGACAGTTAAAATACCAATGTCAGAGACTTCAAGTATGAAAACATTTTTTATTTATACTTTGTATTTCTTACAATCATCACAAATGTTATGAATAACCACTTCTGACTTAAATTTATTCTCAAGACAGCCCCCTTGGTGTTTTATGACACAAAGTGATGTCCTGACCCCAACTTTGGGAACTTAATTTTCATGGCAACAAGCTAAAATACAAAATAAAATACTGGCATGTTCTCACATTTTATATCTGAAAATTTTATAATTTGGTATACCAAGGAATAGAAAGTAATAATTATTGCATTATTAACTGAATTAATGAATAAAAGGCAAGATGCTTACTGTAATATTCTCACAAACAGAAAATATTACACTTACTGTGTAAATTTTATGAAAGAAAATATTAAAATATATAAAAATTGAATATTTTTTAAAATCTGTACTTGTTACAATGACAATAAAGATATATTCTATTCTAAAATAAACTTTATCCTGTTTTCTTTCATGTGATTTTAGAGAATTATGTCAAACTTTTACCATCAAATACTGAGAACAATCTTGTTTTCGAGTCAAATCACAAGGCAGGTGTAAAATCTGAGTTAAGATTAGTGCAGGCAGGAATAATGTAATAATCCCAATATGTTATTTAGTACTTTATATGCATAATAAATCTTTATGCCACTCAAAGTCTAAAATTGCCCTGTTGCTTGAACCTTTAGAAAAAGTAGACAATTTTGACAACAGAGAATTATAATGCACAAATAATTGTTGCTGTTACTTTATTTTATCCTGAATGTATTTTTCATGTTTCTCTCTAAAAGAGCTAGAATAGCTGTTTTGTAACATGAACATGTAACAATTGTGCATTCTGATGTCAGATATCTATTTTTTTAACCTGTTTTGAGAAATAATGAAGTGTAAACTGTGTTTTAAAGCAAATCACTGATTTTAACTCAACACAAACTTCAACATCATTCAGTCACCTTTGACTTTTATAAAAACATACACAAAACACAGCTTTATTAAAAGAAAACACAGAATGGTTACAATTTAAAACAAGGAACACAATGTTGTTGTTTTTTGTTTTAATTAAACAGGCATCCTTTAGGAAACATAAAATCAGATTCAACACTCCTGCGTACTACAAAACGCTGCAGTTTCTCAAGTTAAAAAAGGAAAAGACAAAAAAAAAAAGACTATCGTGTTCTCCTGACATTAATATAAACACCCCTGCAGACTCTGACCTGACTGCGTTTATTTTCGTAAAAGTTGAATCAGAGGTGGAAGTCCTTCTCATCACAGAGTTTCTGGCTGAGCTCACAGAGACAGCCTGACACACTTCTGTTCACTCCAGTCAGTTGTAGATGAAATTGAACCTAGAAAAAATAATATTATTAGGTCTGTGTTGTGTAGAACGTGAGCTCACCGTGCACAGAAGTCTTTCCAGGCTAGGAGGCCAAACTGGGGTCTGAGTTATATTGTTTATCAGGCTTATAAAACAACTTTACTCAAAAAAAGCTAACATTAAACTCTACAGTTTTCCACAACACACTGTTTATTTTGTTTCCGTTTTCTCAAAGCTGCAGAGAATGACCAATGAACCGTACCTGCTCAACAGCTGTGGTAGACTGGAGATGATTGGTCCATATCCAGGAGCGTTATCATACAGCTCAAACAACGGTGCAGCCACCAGTTTATAGTTCTTGGGAACGGCAAACAACGCTATGGAAACACGAGTTAAGGCACATCAAAACAAACAAAAACTGTGTTCATTTGTTCCTGCTTATTCATTTGTTGCCATTTTTATACGACCCGCAATCATTTTTAATCCACTAGATCCGAAAGTGAAGTGCTGACCTTTCTCCTGCAGCTGAACCAGGAACAGCTTTTTATGCTCCTTTGGTTTGGTGATGTGAGCTGGAATGTAGGGGTACTAGAGGAGACACAAGTCGTGATTAGATCACATTAGTAAACAACATTTAATCTGAAATAAAGAAATACAGTGGGGAGAACAAGTATTTGATACATTGTTGATATTTCAGGTTTTCCCACTTGCAAAGCTTGTAGAAGACWGTAATTTTTAACATAGGTACTCTTCAACTGTGAGTGATGGAATCTAAAACAAAAATCCAGAAAAATACAATGTATGATTTTTAAATAATTAATTTCCATTTTATTGTGTGCAATAAGTATTTGATACACCAGAAAAATGAAACTTAATATTTGGTACAGAAACCTTTGTTTGCAATTACAGAGATCAGACGTTTCCTGTAGTTCTTGACCAGGTTTGCACACACTGCAGCAGGGATTTTGGCCCACTCCTCCATACAGATCTCCTCCAGAGCCTTCAGGTTTCGGGGCTGTCGCTGGGCCACACGGACTTTAAGCTCCCTCCAAAGATTTTCTATTGGATTCAGGTCTGGAGACTGGCTAGGCCACTCCAGGACCTTAAGATGTTTCCTACGGAGCCACTCTTTAGTTGCCCTGGCTGTGTGTTTTGGGTCGTTATCATGCTGGAAGACCCAGCCACGACCCATCTTCAGTGCYCTTACTGAGGGAAGGAGGTTGTTGGCCAAAATCTCATGATACATGGCCCCATCCATCCTTCCCACAATATGGTGCAGTCGTCCTGTCCCCTTTGCAGAAAAGCATCCCCAAAGAATGATGTTTCCACCGCCATGCTTCACGGTTGGGATGGTGTTCTTGGGGTTGTACTCATCATTCTTCTTCCTCCAAACATGACGAGTGGAGTTTAAACCAAAAAGTTCTAYTTTTGTCTCATCAGACCACATGACCTTCTCCCATTCCTCCTCTGGATCATTCAGATGGTCATTTGCAAACATCAGACGGGCTTTGACATGCGTTAGCTTGAGGAAGGGCACCTTGCGTGCACTGCAGGATTTTAATCCTTGATGGCATAGAGTGTTACTGATTGTTTTCTTTGAGACTGTGGTCCCAGCTCTATTCAGGTCATTGACCAGGTCCTGCCGTGTAGTTCTGGGCTCATTCCTCACCTTCCTCAAGATCAATGATGCTCCACGAGGTGAGATCTTGCATGGCGCCCCAGACCGAGGGAGATTTTCCATTATTTTGTATTTCTTCCATTTTCTAATAATTGCACCAACTGTTGTTGCCTTCTCACCAAGCTGCTTGCCTATTGTCCTGTAGCCCATCCCAGCCTTGTGCAGGTCTACAATTTTATCCCTGATGTCCTTACACAGCTCTCTGGTYTTGGGCATTGTGGAGATGCTGGAGTCTGATTGAGTGTGTGGACAGGTGTCTTTTATACAGGTAACSAGTTCAAACAGGTGCAGTTAATACAGGTAATGAGTGGAGAACAGGAGGGCTTCTTAAAGAAGAACTAACATGTCTGTGAGAGCCAAAATTCTTACTGGTTGATAGATGATCAAATACTTATTTCGCACAATAAAATGGAAATTAATTACTTAAAAATCATACATTGTATTTTTCTGGATTTTTGTTTTAGATTCCATCACTCACAGTTGAAGAGTACCTATGATAAAAATTACAGTCATCTACAAGCTTTGCAAGTGGGAAAACCTGAAAAATCAACAGTGTATCAAATACTTGTTCTCCCCACTGTAGATAAAAAAATAAAATAAACCAACATTACAGAAAACAGAATATATTCTGGGGTTGGGCGGTATTGATATCTTTCATAACAGCATATAGAGATGGGTACCGAATTCCATACTTTTATAAGAACCGACTGAATTCTGTCTGTACTACTGTGTACCTGTTCATGTAACATCAAAAGTTACCATGTTTCGGTAGTTAATTGCATCATTGTGACAGTATGGCGTAAGAGTGGTGAGTTTTCCATGCTTGTCCTGAAYGCAGCATTGYGACCGTATTGGMGTAAGAGTGGTGAGTTTTCCATGCTTGTCCTGAACGCAGCATCGTGCAAGAGCGTAATGACGTCAGCAGCCGCTGCTTCAGTAAACAGAGTTCAGTCTGAATGTAGCTTGAAAGCCTCGCAGCTCCTGGAGTAAAACCCACCAAAAAGACCGCCTCTGAATTATCTGGTGGATTAATTATCTTGTGAGCACGACGTTCGTTTRCTCAAAGTAAATAAAGTACCGCCACTTTCTGTATTTCATCCACCATTAAACAGAGACCAGCCGAGGAAAACAACAGAGGCGCTTCCCGACAGTCCGAACACGTCTGACCTAAAGAGCACAAGCAGCCAGCTTGAAGCGCTGGACGTGTTTTGGATGTTCAAAACGTAGCTGTAATACCTTTTATTTATTTTAACCCCATCCTCTTTTGTTTGTTTGATTTAAACTTATTTGCCTTCCATGGACGTCCATCACACAAATTTTCTAGTGAGGAAATGACATCAACAGAAATACATGGAGCTGGATTTTAATTTGTGCAATAAGACAAAACAGTCTTGTTGTTTTCAAGTGTTTTCACTTTAAAGATGTTTGTTAAACAACTGATGTTACAATATAAAGAGTTGGATGTAATCTTGATATTTGTTAAATTTTATATATTGAGCAAAAAAAATTATTTAAAAGCTTATTATTAAAAAAACACCAACAACAACACACAAAAAGTACCGGAAATTAGTACCGTTGAGTACTGGTACCGATTCCCAGGTACCAGATATTGGTACAGAATCGATTCAAAGGTCAGAGGTGCCCATCCCTACCGGCATTTTTTTTTTTTACATAACACCGTGGTATAGGGTATTACCAAGGCAGAGCGAAACGGGGCGGAGCATGGAGTGTATGGTGTGGGGCGTGTCTCTGGCTCATGCCATATCTCTATCGCTACCAAACTTCATTCAGCTCTCGCAGCTTTTTGTTTTCTTCTTCCTGTAGATCTTTTGGCACTTGGTAAATGTAACCCTACCCCCAGACTCCTTGAGTTTTGTTCCAAGAGACTGCTGCAACGTCAGGTTCGGTAAAAGAACAGTGCCATTGACTACTGTATTTATCATAACTTTGGTTTTATTTGATCTAACAACACAATTTAAAAACTTTTGACTCAAACTGAAACTGTCTCAGAGAAGGCATATCTTTCCTGTTACAGCAATTTAAATTAGTCATGTGASTAGGCTCCAGAGGGTTTATACACCGCCATAACTAGGGATGTCCCAATCCAGATTTTTTGGCTCCCGATACAATCCGACTTTTTTAATGATTAGTCTTTCCGATACCGATCCRATAGCTTTATTTCATTTCTTTCCAAGTGACAAGGTTGGTAGTATTAAAGCAAGCCCTGCTGTTTCCACCACGAGAAACATCCAGTTTGCAGATTTTGCAAGATGCAGTTTCAGCATCATTGTTTACCATTGAAAAGTGTTCCCACACTGTGGACTTGGTTGCATACTTGTGTGCGTCTTGACTTCTTAACAGCAGTTGTAAAGCACGATGATGATGAAAACTTTTGCGAAAACTGGATCGGCCCGATCACATGACTAAATCTGATTCTACCTGATTTTCAAAAAATGGCCATATCTGCCACCGACACTACTGAGTATCTGATCGGGACATCCCTAGTCATAATTTTTAAATACTGTCACTATATTTCAAAACGGCCCAAGATTAATACGTTCTACCGTTCTAGTCACATAGGTGTACCAACCTGCGGAGGCTCAAAGTTTGGGCGCCACCAGTTGCCGATACAGTCGTCAATCACCCAGTCCTGCTTCACCCCGTCTTGTCGTCCAAGAATCTAACAAAGAGAGTAAAGTTAATAAGCACAGCACTCACCACAGAATCTGGATGCTGTGACGCAGCTACCTACCTCTGTCATCAGGCGTTTCAGCCCTTCCACTTCATCCTCTCCAGGGTTTAACTCTCCACCAGGCCTGCAGCAGAGACACAAACCCTCAGGCATCTGCACAGCTAAAAACCACACCTGCGTGTTCACGCAGGAACCGCTGAACATCGGCCACTCACAGTTTAAAGAACGTTGTTCCCAGCTGCAGAAGCAACACGTGAGGCAGCCTGTGTTCGTGGACAATGAGAACACCCTCCACTGTCCTGCGCATGCCCATCTTATCGAACTCTTCGCGCATACGCTGGAACCTGGCAGCCACGGAGCTGTCCTTCTCATACAGAGGTTCCTTAGTGCCAAAGGTGTAATTGGTGAGAGGGTATCTGTTAAAGAAAACAAAAAAAGTATCCAACATGACTAAAGATAACCATTGTGACCTATATGCTCTAAAACATTAATCTGTGATTTAAAAAACTAAAGAAACAAGGTAATGCAACTGYAAATGACAGTAAATAAACCACAACTAAGTCCTGATTGTTTCTTAATACGTTAAACGTTTTCTGCAATGATTCTCCAAAGACCAGGAATCAAATCAGACATTAATCAAACACCTTATTTTTTTAGTGAATTGTAACAGAGTAAATGATTAAATCTTCACATCTGACTGAGATGCAGAAAAAAAACTTCCACCACTCGTTATTTTATTTTAATAAATGACTTTTACAATGACTAAAATTAATCATTTGTCAAAGTTCAAAATTTCACATGCTTTTAACACAAATATATGTTTGTTTACTAGTGTTTAAAGTTTAATATATTTAAATTCAGGAATTATCCAACTATACATGAAGACATCCTAACTAAAACTGGTTTTCTATTAGAAGACTTTAATTATAAAAATGCATTAAAAATTTGACACAGGTTAAAAACTGATTATTTTTTACTGATTAACATCCAACAAATTAATCTAAAGATTTAATATATAAATCAAAATTTAATCACAGCATGCAAAACCATATAAACGTAAGTATTATTTCTCTTATGGTTTATGATCTGTGAAATAGGACCAAAAAAACGTGTTAATTGATTCATAATTATAGCTTATCTGCCTTTTTCTGCAACAAAAACAATTAATACTGACCGGACTTTTTCAATCACTTTTTAATGTTATCGCAATAAGGTGATAGCATCTACGTGTTTATTGTCCACCTTAAAATAAAACTACTGCTCTCATTCATGGTGAACTCACAGGTTGATGGTCCTCTCCAGTGTGAGCGGTTTGGTCGGGCCCGATGAGGCCCCGCTGCTCATGTATTTGTTCGTGAACTGGTCTGAATTGCGGCGCGGCCAGCCGGTATTGGAGCGACTGGGAGGCACAATCGACATTTTTATCCACGAGTTTAAAATCTTCCGCTGATAGCTGGTTGGTAATTTTATTCTCTTTTTTTTTCCTGGTTTCCAAAAGAAACAAAAAGGGAGCGCTCTTCTCTACTACCGCCGCTACGAGCTCGTTAGCTTTTCCACTTCCGGGTGAAAACATCGTTGTTTTGCTCATTGAAATCCTCCCAGCGACACCTGCTGGACGGAGCTAGTATTACATTATCTTATTTATTTCCAAGGGCTTTTTCTCATCTCAGTTTTGAGTTCCTGTTTCAGAGGATATCACCCATAGTTTTGTTTCTTTAAAAAAGTTTATATTTCTTAACTTAAAGTCTATTGATCTTACCCTTTTACTGTAGTGCTAGTGTCTTTTTATGGCAGGTATTAAGAGTTTTAAATGAATCTGTCAGTGGTCAATTTAGTGATATAAAAATCAGTAACACACTAACTCCTCTTGTCCTGCTGCATCTCAGTAATCCAGGTACAAAAAAAAATCAAAATGAAAAAAGAAGTAGGTCCTCTGGATGGGTTCTTTTTT